CATCCCTGTCATGGGTCGAAAGTGTAAACTCTGGGCCTTACCAAGCCATTCAGCTGTACAGAAGTGCCTGGATCACCTGAAATGCACATACTCATTTTTTTTAATTACACAGAGTGAATGATTTTTTATGGAAAGCTCAGCCCCCTCCCACCAACGGCAGGAGGACAAACTTTCTCTCATCCATTTGGAAGCTTGCCAGTTCCAAGTCAGTCCAGTGACACTTTTTTACAGCAGTTTTAGCTGCCAGAGTGAAGTTGCCATCTGCCTACCCTTGTTGTGCTCCTATTGGTGTGTAAGGTCCTAGAGGTGGGTCTATCACACTGCTAGCCTATAGAGGTAACCACAGAAGAAAGCTGGTCTGCTTTCATCTTCTGTCCCTCTGGACTGGAGAAAACATTGTTACAGCTTGTAAATTAGGGTAGTTCTTAATGGTAATTTAATAACAAGATTATAGCACAAGACATCAACATCTTCCCTGCCCTAGAACTTGGGTGAACTCACCCATCTGAGGAGACAGGACCCTTGAAAGCAGAAAGATTACCCCTGTCCATATTAGCCTCACACCTTTGAAAGCCACACCAGTCCTTCAGCTGGTATGCTTAATAATAATCACAACAAAAACAGCAGCAACAACAATGGTATTTTAACTATATCTGTTGAGGATTTGGCAGCCTGAAGGGAAACCTGCCTATCACAAAAATGCATGAGAGATATAAGAGCCAAAGGCAGCTTCCAATATACTTGCCACATCAGCCCCTACCCTTCTGCTCTGACCTCTGCTCTTGCAGCAATTCACTTTCTCCATCCCCTTCAGAGGCTCTGCTTGTTACTGCTGGCATTGTCAGAACAAATGGTGTTCTCTGTGCCAAACCCCTCCGCGTTTCTTCTGCAAACTAAATCTGATTTCCATCTCTGAGAGTTTAATACATATGTGATTAAATAATGAATTTTCTTCTCATAGAAACACTGGAGGGTCAGCACCAGGGAGGGAAGAAAAAACTACTTGAGCTAGAGGACAGTACTGGACACAAATACATCTGGGCTTAAAACCCCTGAAGGGCAAGTAGCAGGCGACTGGAACCCATGACCCTGAAACCTCTTTCTGTCCTGGTTTCCAAGTACCAGCATGTGGGAGACGGAGGGAAAGCAAGCGAGGGGGGCAGGCAGACAGGCTTTGAAAATCCCCCTTGTATTTGCAAGTGCCTGGAGTGTGTCTTTGCATTGTTTAATGGTAATCTGTTTCTTATTATTGCAATGTGGTGTCCAAGGACGCTGTGTGCTGACCTGGCGTAATGCTGTTTGCAGCTGTGGGAATGATGTCAGTGTCCTGCTCTTCAATGGACATGTTCTGGGGGTTGTCGAGAACTGGACTCTCGGGAACTGTTTGCAGTGAGGAACAACACCCCCCTGGCCAACAACTTTGCAAAAACAGTGCCAGACACCCCCATACACCAGGGAATGTCAGCCATCCCCTATTTTGACACAGTACCAACAACCATCCCATTCTCCGTTTATCCTATCCCCTCTGTTTCCAAACTGATCCCATACTTTGCTCTGCTGCAGAATTGCAGCTTTCACAGAGCTGTATCCCAGCCCCAGGGGTGATAAAGCACACTTCAGTTATCCTAAGTCTGGATTGTGTCCCAAGGGCTCGATTGCCCAAAGGTCACATAGGTGGCTGCATGCAGACACACACACACAAGGTGGTGTTCAGCGAGGATGAAGGAGCTACCCCCAGCCTACGGGCAGGACTGTTTTCAGCAGCCTTCTGGGCCTAGTGAAGATGTACATATGGCTTGAAAACGCAAAAAGCACCGAAAACATTACACATTAATTCATAGAAGCAGGCTTGGCGTTAGCTCATGTTTGTGCCAGATTTGATGGGAAACCTTTTGTGTCCTGTCATTAATTGTGGCTGCAGTCCTTGGGGTGCAAGTAACAAGAGAAGGAGGGGGCAGGCATGCTCATGGAAAGCAAGGATCAGGGTGGCACCTGTACAGTTACCTGGATGCACATGTGTCTTGTTCATCTCTGCAAGCAGCGCAGTGTCAGATCGATGAGACTGGAATTTTCAGCTAGCACTATAGTCCCCTGCTCTGGCTGTTCCCCACAGCCTCAGGAGGAAACAGCCTCCCAGAAATCACAAGACCTCTGTTTCCCACAGCTTGGGCAATGGGGTCTGAGGTATATTGGCCACAGTCTCCTTGAGGGACTTTTTCCCAGGAAGATGGGAAAGAGACTCCTAGAACAGCACAGCCACTCTCTCCATGAGGGACAGGCTATAAACATAAGTGTTACTCAGGAGTGTACAACCAGTAGTGAAATGTTCCCTATATACACAGTCTGTGAAGCAAGTAAAAAAACCTTGGGCTGAAAAAGTAGTGTTAATACAATAACAGTCATCCTCCAGGGAGTTATTCTTGGCAGAGACATCTAATGCATTGGAGACTGAATTAATTAATGATGTCAGTTCAAATAATACTTTATAACAAATAATATTAATTGGTATTTGAGAACAGAAAAAGTGTGATTAAAAAGAATCTCTATAGCAGAGAGGGAAATTCCAAAATCACATGGATTAGCTGAACCACTTTGAATTTAACCTGCTTTATATTCAGAAGAAGCAACCTAGGATGCATTCTGAATGCCGTGCATTTTTCTTTCCGTTTACTCATTGCATTTATTCTTTTATTGTATAACATTACAAATTCCCATGTTTCAACAAGCATCTTCACCTCAACATTGGTCAGCATTTAAGCAAAAGCCAAGTTCTCAGCTGTTGTGTTTTCTTTTTTTTTCTTGGAAAATGCTACTTTTTCTAACAGCTCTCCATCAGTTTCACTGAGAAGTACAATGGTGTTATACAGGCCAACACCAAAATTAGAAGAAGACAGAGATCCTTTTTCCGTTTCTGCTTCTTTTCTTGTTTTGTGAAGGATGTTGAGTCAGCACTTCTATGTCCACTTTGGTCAGTTACGAGTCATGAATGGGGACGATAGGTTTGCAATCAATGAAGGAAGAATCCTGAAAAACTTGAGCATTTACATCACAGATTTTTGGTAGTTATTTCCAAAGAACCTATTCCCTGAACACTTCGTCTGCCTTGATTTGCTGGGTGACACTGTCAACAATTTCAAAGTCAGAAGTGAAAAGGATAAAGACAGATTAATAAGACAAGTGCCAAGTTGTCTCTCCAGAAATCAAAAGGGATAGATGACATATCAATCCTTTGTTTTCACTTTCCTCACCCATGTGGTACCAAAATAATGGCAAAACCAGATGCTTATTTGTAAGACTTTTATTTATATAAATAATATTGATGATATTGAACAAATATACAACACCATGCTTGCAAATTAATGCTTTGCAAAGAACTCTGTGACTTCTCCTAGCAGGAGGAGGCACTGTGGGAGCAGGACACCAGAGGAGGTGTTTCAAGGGATGACACAGGACCTTCCAGCCTTACCCAGAAAGAGCAACAGGATGGAACAGAAAACTCACAGCCATCACAAAGGACATGACAAAGCACCCCCAGAATGTGGGACACAGCCTTGGGAAAGCCTCAGGGAGTTAGACTGCAGAGGAGAATCCATCTGTAATTTGGGAAGGTGGTGATGAGTGGGCGTGTACTATGAACTCATGTCTTCAGTTTGGTAAAGACTCTGCCCACAAGATCAGGTGCTAATGGGGTCCCCTAGTGGAAACACGTTGATTGCCAGGCAGGAGGATGCTTTGAGTCTGCTCCCTGTGGAAAGTATCTATCTCCAGGCCGTATAGATTTGCTCATGCTGGGTGTTTTTTTCAGTCCAGTCACGAACTAACCGTATCTGGCCATATTACAGGCAGTAAAAGGCCTGAAAAGGCAGAAGACTGGGGGACTGTTAAGGTGCCTCCAGCAGAAGACAGTTGGCTAGGGAGGGAGTATTTGCAGGTCTGATGTAGGAGGAAATCATACTGGATGAAAAGTACTCCAGTAGTGAGAGGTGTGTTTCTCCTCCTTGAGGTACGTGAGGAAAGAGATGGCAACTGATGTGGATGCCAATACAGCATCTAAAATGCCACAGCCTCGACCTACACGAATGAGAAATAAACACTGAGGTACAATACAATGTAAAAATGAAGTATGTTTTCCAGTAGATGCATGCTGCAAAAACATTGCAGAGGTGAAGTACCTTCATGGCTTCTTTCCTGGCTGGGTGCGAGGTCCACACACTGACTGATACTAGCACTGAGCTGCCATGGCTCTCAACCTAGTTACCAGGAATTGAGTGGACTTCCTATTTCTGCATGGGAAACGTCTTGCTGGACACTCAGAATTTCAGCTTGCACTTGGAAATGTTGGCCAGTGAGTCTTCTGGACCCACAACTACTGAAGCTCCCTCCTTTCTGGGCAGGAGGCACTACAGGGCCTGGGACTGCACACAATCCACTTAGAAGACGTGCTGGCTTCAAGTGAGGTTCTCAAGCTAAGCCACCTGGGTTGTCCAGGACTCACTTCAATACTCTAAGTCAAGGTTTCCAAGAACTGGCCAACTTTGCTGTTAGGACACACCACTAAAATGGTGATGGATATCAACTTTCTACACTCATCCAGAAGGCCAAGTAAACTACTTCACTGGGGAGGACACGGAGTAACTCAGTGTAGCACAGCTCTAAGAGCCAAGAGACATGCTTCCCAAAGCCTTAAGGAAATGTACAGACCAGTGAGGTGCAGGCTGTCTGCTCCCACATGACCAGGGCTAAACCCAGAACTCCATTTAGTGGACCACCTGAGTCAGCTCTGAAGGGACCGAGGGACGGCAAATCACTTTCTAGGAATACCACTGCAGTCCTGGCTATTGTCAGCTAGCAATGGGTGAGGTGGGAGTCTGGGGAAAGTGTCTTCAGCAGATCAGCCTGATTCTTCTTTGAAATGAAAGAGTAAGGATAGTCTTATCTCTAGACACAGGACTGGGAAGGGACATGTAAAGAGGAAAGAAGAGAAATATCTGTTGTAAGGGAGAGACTTGGAAATCAAAGAACAAGTGTTTGTGAAGTCTTCTGATTGCTGATGACTTCCACTTCAAAGTCCTAGAGTTTTAAAGGCGTCTCGTAAATCATCTACTTCATACAGTGGCTGTAGGAAAAAATAGAAATGGTAGGTTAGTTGTCAAGTGAGCAGAAATCTATGAAGATGGAGAAGGAGGAAGGAATGGCAGGAGATGGAATGAAACATGGAAGAAAGGAAAGAGAATGAAGAAAGGACATGTGAAGAGAGTTGAGGAAGAGAGCCATGAGGGATGGAAGGTAAAGACACAGAAATGAATGAAATGGCAGATGGCAGAGATGAGCAGCAAGAGCAGAGAGGAAGAGAAGAAGAAGCTGAGGGGAAAAGACACCGAAAGGAGAAGGAGGATTGTCCCTCACCAGGAGTATCCGTCGGAGTTTCCGGGACAGATGGACTGAGTTTTCGTGCAGCCCTTCCCAGGCTTTGAAAGTCTTTTCCCTGTTCTCCACAAATGTGTTCCAGCAGTAGAAGTAATCTGTGCAAGGCACAGGGGAGTTACAGAGTGCTCAGGACTGCCCAAGAGAGGACACTGACCTCTCCTAGGATCACTAAACCACCACAATCCGCTGTCATCTTCTCTGGCTCCTTGTCCTAGCTTCTCCCACCCTCCTGCATCTCCCTAACCCTCACAGCCATCCATCATCTCTTTCTTGCCTGCACATCTCACCTTTGAAGGTCATGATGGCAATTTGGGCCCCCGCCTTGTGCAGGCGCCTCAGCCCTTCAGGCTCTGCCTTGCGGTCCTCACAGAAGTAGAGGCGGGCTGTGAAGATGCGGAGGGTCAGGTTGGGGTAGGAGCGCAGGAAGTCAGCCACGTGCCGGGCGCAGTCATAACAGGGGCTCCAAGAGGTGAACCAGGTGATACGGTAGCAGCGGCCCGGGTCCAGGTCCCAGGCTGAGATGTAGCGCAGGAAGAGCACCTCCACGTGACAGCCCATCTTCATGAAAGAGGGAGAGGGGCAAGGCATTTGGTGACAAGGGTGTAAGAGGGATGAGGAAGGAGGTGTGAGGGGAGGAGAAACAAAGTTTAGTGGGTAGGTCCTAGGGTCAGTGCACGGAGGGAGAAGGCACAGTGGTACATATGTGGAAGACTGGCTAGAAAAGCACAGGAGCACACTGATGTGTAGAGATGTAGAAGAGTGGTTGGGAGCTAAGCAGAAAAGTAGGTAGACTGGTAAAGCAACAGGGAGTACAGATGTCTTGCAGGTAACATATTTGGAGTAGCATAAATTACAGGTTTACCTGAAGGATGTATCCCCCAAATAGTATGTACCAGTGCCATGTCCAGGCTTGTGGGCATGTGTGCTAGTGCCTGCACTGATGTCGCAGCCCTCCTTTCCCTGCTGCCCCAGGTGAACTGGAGATGCAGGCACCTCCGCATGGATATGCCAAGGTGTTCCTCCTACCTTATTGCGCAGGTATCCGAAGTCCAGGGAGCATGATGTGGCACTGTCACGGCGCTTTACAACATAGCAGAGGTAGGTTTCACGCCGGCCCTTGGCCCAGCGCAGGTTCTTGAAATTGTAGAGGAAGAGTTTCCTCTTCATCAGGAGGCTGCAGGAGAAGACGAGAGAATTTACATTAGCCCACTGGAGTCAGCAGTTGGCCATGTCTTTGTTGAGGGCTCAGCACCAAAAATATCCTTGTCGCGTCCAGGCCTCTCAGTATGAGAAGAGCATCAGTAATTTGCATTCAGTGTGTTAGGGAAAGGGTGCAGACGTGACTGTGGGGACAAAGCCAGTGACCTTGTGAGTGGAAACAGTAAGTGAATTAGTAGTGATTAGTCAAACAGCAACTATGGCTGGGTAGAGTGTGAAAATACCTGCAAATATCCAAAAGATGGACACCAATGAGGGAGAAGGATGATGGTGTCTGAAAAGACTTTGGAATATGAGAAGATATGGAGTTCAGTCACCAAGAAATACTATTTCTGCTGTATGCAACCCTGAACAGCCCCTGAGGCAAGGGATGAATCAGAATCTCTTTAGAGGAGACTGAAGAGAGTTTCTTCCCAGCATTGCCCAAAAGAAGAGCATGGTTAAAAGTGTACAGGGCTAGGGGCTCGGTTAAGGTGCCATGCACTAGCTGACAGAATACATAATGGGGCAGGCACGCTGACACTTCCCCAGCCACGAGTACCATTCCCAAATTAGACAAACATCGAAATTGCTGGAGGCCTGCTTCCAGGCCCAGGAATCCTGCCAGGAGGAGGACAGCAGAGGCATGGGGAAGGTAAAGTAGGCACAAACTGTATTTAACAGCCTCACTGCCAAGTGGAGATGCATAGGCAGCTGAGAACAGCTGTGTTCATTGAGGTGAGGTACTCACCTCCCCCACAGCAATGCAAAACAGAAGTGAATGGGTTAAAAATAATTATGTCCTTTGTCATCTTTTCCCTCTGATAGGCTGATATTCAGCAGGGAGATGGGGTCCGTTTAAGCGATACCAAGCTGGGTTTTCTGGGGGGCGTCTTCAGTGAGGTGTAGGAAAGGGGAATTGGGATTTGTTAGGGGTTTAAATTCGGTTTAAATCTGAGGGTGTAAGCAAGGGAAGTTTCATACAAGAACATCTTCCATCTGTTGATTAATGTCACCACAAAGCCTGAGCACTGCAGCGTGCTTAATCTCCAGCTAACAGTGGCATCTCCTCTGCTCCTCCAGGAGCTTCTGTCCAATGTGGGCCCTCACATGTGGCCACTGCTTCTAAGGAACTCATTCATACAGTCACACGCATCCTCTTGTTACCCAGTGCACATGCTTTGCTGTCCTGTAGTACTCCCTATTGCACCCCACATGACATCACCAGGGAGGTGCATTCTTCCCTCAAGCACCCTTGCTACACTGGTTGTCTCACAGATAGGCAAGCCACCTGCACACATGCTCTTTCCTGCCATGCCACTCTCAGCCTGCGGTGCAAAAATACCTGTCCTGCTCACACAGAAAGGGCAGGTGCACACGTACCCCATTATGCCACTCCTCATACAGACATGCTCCCACAGAAGTAGATCACTAGGCAGTTGCGGCATGTCTTCTGCTAGGATCAAGTCGATAGAGAAGGTAAGGTTCTGCAGAGTCCTGCACACGCTCTGAGGACAAAGCATCCTTACCAAGAATTTTATTCAGCCCAACAACAGCCTCAGGAAGTTCATGGAGGTTTATCCTGTGAATACTGCCTCAGTCCCACTCCACTGGGCTAGCAGGTTGTGTGAGTCGAGCGCAAACTGAGGCCACTGCAATTCATCATCCCTTTCTCTGGCAGTTCATGTTGTGCATTTCCCATACCCACTGTCTGTTCTTCATCATCAGTTCTGATTTCTTTCTCACTGCTGCCCCACTTCCTACCAACTTAGATTCACCCTATTTCACTGCCTTTGTACAAACACTTATGAACATGTGTGTATATTCCCTAACACACACACACATTGGTCCCCTCACAAACCTGTCACCTCAGGCTTCTTCGTTTTAGATGTGTGTTATTGCAGGGATGCGGGAAGACTCTCCCCTGTAGCAGAGGTGTTGGAGAGGGGAGACCACTTCTACGCATCATAGATCTTAAGATTGTCCAGAGAGCATCACCCAGACAATCGCATGGGAAATAAGCAGGTATGATAAGCTAGAGGCTTGCAAAGCTCTGACTTGGAGTGTGCCACAACAGCAGAAAACAGAGCAGAGGAATTGTGAAAAATGCAATCGCTTGTTGAAGAATGATACAAGCCAGGTGAAAATCAATGACAATTATGTTGAGATTTCATCAAAGCTGACATGGAAAAATGCTTTTTGACACCACAAAAACTTCAGTTAAAATAGGCTTTCCCTTTTGTCTTTTTTTTAAAAAATTTTTGGGTAAAAAAGTTGCTTTCAAAATATTTTGAATTCTTCTTGTAACTGCCCCTTTTCTCACTTCTTCCCATTTTCTCTATTCAATGGTTTTGCTCTTGTGGAGCAGCATGTGGATGTAAATACAGGTAAAAAACAAGAAATTATCTCAAATCCCAGAAAAGTAAGCTGATGATCACCTGATTTATTTTTCAATGTCAGCACAAAGTAAAGGCAATTCTGAATCACAGAAGCCATTTCTTCAACTAGAAATGGTCGTTAACATCAGTTCCTATTTTCTCTTCTCTTTGGAATTCCCCTTCCCTTTTTTTTTTTTTTTTTGCTAGAGAAGATTTCAGAATGTGGCTGCTACAAGAAGAATAATGCCTGAACAGATGTTGCAGGGACAACTGAGCAGATGTGTAGTACTGCTGGATACATGTGCAACCCCAATAGCTATAGCATAGCTCAAGGGAAAGCAGCAAGGACACAAGAGCTGTGATTACACTCATGTACTGAAGAAGTATATCTACATCTATATCTATATCTATATCTGTCTATCTCTATATCTGTATCTATAGATGATCTATACATATATTTATATTTATATTTATAT